CACTAAAACACTCTCATAATTTTCAACTACAAGGGATATATTTATGTTAAAAATGATGTGCTCTGTCATTCATGATGAGTTCTATAGAGTATTATGTGCATGATCACTATTAGAAAATTAAATCAAAATATCTCAATGCTGCAAAATACTCTTTTAACTGAGCATTAACTCTCACACAGCCAAATAAATCAATGTACTGCAAACTTAGAAGCTTCATTTGCAATTCTTATATTATCAATCTTTTTAGCTAGTATATGGCTAAAATAATTATTGCTGACTAGTGTTAAAAAACAACAGCAAACTAAAACAGCAGATAGATTTTTCTCAAGTGCCTTGCTTGTATGTGTCATTATTACTGGGTAACTAAATGACTAGAAAGGAAAAAGCAATCCATTTCAAAATGTGCATATAAAAATTTGGAGGTATAGGCACCATCATTTGAAGACTGTATGTTTAGGCTATCTGTTAAAAAAAAAAAAAAAAACAGTGCTAACACAAAACATAGTCGAAAATCAAACTGGTTAAACAATCCTGAATAACCCAAAGGGGAAAGCAAACCCCTCAGCCTGCCAGGACCAGCTCTGTCCCTCAGCCTGCAGGAGAACAGTTTTTGGGAAGCACATTCATCGCATTTACCATTCCTTACACTTAAGATATCTTATTATTAAACACAGAGAACGTATTTAAGACATGCAAATTTCACATAACTGTCAAAGTTGTATTCTAAAAATGAGTAAAATATTGACAAGATCCTCAAGCTGTGAGACGCTACATGAATTCCTCTAGACAGCCTGTGGGTTAGTTGGGACTCTCCTTTTGAGGATGTTTGTGGATCAAGGGTCCTGTGACTAAGTATTGCTTTGCCTCATGCAGAGTTGCTTATTTAACATAATTCATGGAAAGAAAAGTTACTTGTGGGGAGTTACTTTGTCTCTGTATGATTCCCATGACAAGACTTCCCAACAACAGCAGAAGAAGAGTGGAGAGACAAAACTGCTGCTGGTAACAGCAGGGATGCAGAGCCTGGTGTTTGCCTCCACAAAGCTAAAAACCCGCATTTCACAGGACCTCTGCTTCTGCAAGATACAAGGAGGTTGGTAACAACTTCCTCTGGTTCTGGATGAGTATTTCTAACAGCAAAGTACTGCTGCTAAGTATTGTAATGGTCTTCTTCACTCATCAGCTTTGTGTGTGGACAGTAGTAGTCACCCCTCACATTTTCAAGGTTTGATATGCTGAAGACTTTGATATTTACAGCTGACAGCTCTGCGAGTCAAGAACTTGTGGGGACAAAGACAGTTTAGTAGTGGCTTTCCTAGGCTTTTGGCACAGTTGCGATTACAGACAGATCCTATTTTTCACTGAAGCTTCTGCTGAAATGACCATCAAAATCAGCTGCTAGTGTTCCAATTCCCAGTGAAACCTCATCCCCTGGGATTCAACACCAATCATGCACTAAGGTGAACAGGGTGTTTCACCCTGACAGCAGTTTTATTTTGGTTAATCCATGCACTCTGGAAGACAATGGTGTACTCGTTACCAGCTACTCACGTTTTCAAGCATTTTGCTGAAGTAACTGCTAGGAAGAGCCTAATGAAAAGCAGTGAATCAGCCAACTCCCACCACTATGAAGCAAAATAGGGAATTTTCCCTTCAGTGATTATGAAGCAGCCAAAGGTGACAAGAAAGTAACAGGCGGGGGTTGTGAAGAGGAGGCCATTTCCTCCTGAGAGAAGGAAATAAAGGTTAAACGTGGGTGACAGAGGAGCTGCCCATGGAGAGGCATGCAGGAGGATGTTCCCTCGCGCTGGGAGGCGGCCGTTGGGGTAGGCAAACACGGCGTGAGCGTGCAGACATCATCCAGTGCTGGCTCATACTTTTCTGCGAGTGCAGCGGTACCTCACAGGCGGCGCGGTGAGGCCCTGTGGAAACCCTTCACACGTCTCTAGTTCATGGAGCAGCTTTGAAAAAACATCACGCTACTTTGTTTACAAAATAGGCATTTGTCTATAAAAATGGATTATCTAAAGAGCATTTCGTTTCTGGGTAGAAAAGCTAGTGTAAAGCTGTTTTTTTTTCCAAAAAGGAAAATAGAGAAAATATCATTTTCAACAATAGGATACAGGGTGTGAGAGTTGGCATTGAGTTACTAGAGAAAAGGCTGCTCTCTTCTAGTGCGCTCGCTTAGTTAAGGAGATACCAATTAGACCCAGAAATAAAAACATCAGAAAGTACTCATTTTGCTGAAAATGCATTTTTAGAACAAACAAAATTGCTTGTGAATTTGAACCAAATATAGTATATATGGATTAGGCCGGGGGAGGTGGGGGGACAAAAGGTTAAGAGAGTTTCATGTCAATGTGTGAAACATCATTCTTTTTCATTTTCAAATAATTTATTCAAAACATTAAGCTAAATTCACTTTCAAAAGTGCTGAATGAAATATTTATCATTCCTTTCCCTTGAAAACAATCAAATGGAGATTTTTTTCTGTCATGGAAAATTTGCTGACGCAGAGTGAACCTCTTTATTCCTCACATTGGCCACCGAACCGAGGGAAAAAATAACAACTTACAAATTCATTATTTCATCAACATTATTCAGCAGCTCTAACCCCAGCTCAGAGGCCTGTCTCCCTGGAAAACCCTGTGGAAAGCCGGGCTCTCCCCTCTCACCAGGCTGCAGGGGCAGCACATACTGCTGTCCATGGAGCCGCCATCTTACAGGCCTGTCAGGGAAGATGGCTGCTGATACCTGTCTGCCATCTTGCACCTGTCAGCAGTGAAGGAGGCGATTCCCAGGCCTCACCGCTGATCCCTGATCCAGGAAGCGCCAATGGCAGCTATGTGCACCAAGGGTGCCAAGCACAGCAGTTTTATTAGCAAAAGACCGTGCAGCTGAGGTAGGATGTATCCTGCCATTAAGCACTTCCCGTGAGAAGCCTATGCTGACCTGTGATGACACAAGACAAAACTTAATTGTGCCTAAATGGGGCCCTTTGGGGCTCAGTGAAAATGTTGGACTAACCTGCTCCATCTTGTGTCGAAGGGGAAAATGCAGGCAGGGCAGCCCAAACAGCGACATGCGGCACACCGAGCCCGGCCGGCTCTGGGTGAGGGTGGTGAGCAGCTCCCAGCCGGCCGTACTGAAGTGCCGTGTCCTGGAGATGCTGCTCCCCTGAGAGGCTCCCAGAGAGGCTGCTCCCCCTTAAGATCTTCCTGAGAGGCTGTTGCCCTTGGGGATGTCCCAAAGGGGCTGCTCCCCCTCAGTCATGTCCCAGAGGGGCTGCTCCCCTCAGTGCCTGCCTCGGCCCTGCCTCCCTGAGCCAACCGCCAGTCCTTCCATACCAGGCAATGCAGCCCTGACACAGCATTTTGGGCTTGTTCAGGGGTAGGGTAACCCTGTGGCCTGTGTGGCCACAACCCACTCAGGAAGATGGAGAAAAATGCATGGAAGAGCAGGAGGCCTAACCTGTGTTTTTTTTAAAAAAAGATTATCCCCAACAAAATAATTTGCTTGTGGAATCTTCTGCAACTCCCTAACTAGAATCACATTAAAATGATATTTGCATCTTAAAACTAGTGAAACAAGCCCTAAGGAAACTGAAATTGGAGCAAAGTGCTCAGAGTGAAAGCCATAGAACACTGTGCTGAGTAGGGCACTGACTGCCAGTATTGCTTGCAGCTTGTGCCTGCGTTATCCCCAGATGCCTGCAGATGCGCTTAACAGGCCTGCAGCCTCCGGGGAGTCATGGGAGCGTCATGGGAGCTGAGCAGGAGCAGGGCAGGCTGCCCGTTAAACGACTGTGTCTATCTGACTTGCTATCAAATAAAGATACTAAAAATGGGGATTACTTGTTCACAGCCACACACAGTTTCTGACGTCATTTTCAAAATTGAGAAGTCTGATATAACATTATGCAACTGTTAAATATTCCACACTGGCAAAATCTAATTTTCACACGCCTACATGCTATGTACCTGATTTTTATTTTTATTTTTAAATCTCAACAGCCTACAGCAATCTTTTGTAGAGATTTAAATGGTCTTAATGGTCATAAAAGGTCCCAAACGTCAAAAAAAAAACAGGTTTAAGAGGAGAAAAAGCAAAATTACAAAAAGTCTAAACAGAGAATATAGAGTAACATCTGAAATCAAAACTCAAGGGACGATTGCAGACAAAACCTATCTCTACAGAGTTCCAGCATGTGGATTATATATCCATGTGCAAAAAGTATTCAATGCAGTTTTTTGATCTATAACCCACAGCTCTTTTAAAGGTCACTTTTATAATAGAGAGGTGCCAAGAAAAGAAAAGAAAGAAAACCAAAACCCTAGGTAGTAACACGTGAATATCACGACATGGCCATTTTATGTCTGTCTGCTGGAATGCGTTAACTCAGTGCTTAACCAGGCTGTTCCCTGATTTAAGCAAACAATATCATATAAGCATTTTTTTTCCCTGAATTAACTTAGATCCTGTGAAAATAAGTATCTCAAACCAGCTTACAAAGAAAGAAAAGAAAGAAATTGAAGGCAGTCTTAGAGATAAAAGCAAGACTTGGGCTGAATTCTTCTCCCTGTTCCTTTTCACATCATTGCCTGTAACGGATCAAGCTTTCTTCTCACTGGAATCCAAAATATGACCTTGCATCATTCAGAACATATTTAGAGCTGCTGAATAATCAGGTATAGAACACAACAGCATTTCTGCCTTTGGGGTTTTCTCCCTGTGAGTTTAATTTGCTAATTCTCATCCTACTATTCCACAAGGTGGAATAAAAATGTAGCAATCATGGGAAAAGATTTTGATATCATGCAGTCATTACCATACAAGTCTCCTCAGCAGAGACCTGCTCTGAGCAACATCCTTTAAAGCAGCTTTGTAATGACTTCAGATCGGCGTCTCCCAAGTCACTACAATGGCAGTGAAATTACAGTGATCAAGTTACACAGAGATGCATGTGCCCTGTGTACAAAATAGTAACCTATCTTAAAAAAAAAAAAAAAATCTGGTCCCAAGAATGAGGTGTGCATTTTTTCAGAGATATATGTACCAACTAAACAATAAGGGTTCAAAATTGTGGGCCAAAGAAAGTTAATCTAGTTAAGCAGGAGAAGCTGTCATCACCAATGGGTAAGAGGCATTACTGACTTGAAGTATAAGAGATAAAATTAATTCCAACACATTAATTTGTGCTGTATAAGCACAGGCAAGCACATACCGCCAGTATCAGAAGTTATATGAAATCCACTAGATTTTTTTTTTCTGTGAATCGGGCCTGACAGTCGTGGTCCCTAAGGATACTGGCATCTGTGTGAAGTGTTTCACTTGACTGCAGCTCATCACAGGCACATTTTACATGGCCGATTTACAAACTGCAGGAGCTCCATCTCATCTTCTCTCTGCTCCACTAAGGAATAAAAGTGTATGTTTCTAGGAGTGCTGGTAGTCCAGACTAGAAAAAGACTTTTTTTCTGTTTCTATGGTTGCAACAGCCCTTAATAAAGATATAAATTTCCCTGCAACAACTAACTGCATATTCATTTTAAGGTAGATCTAGTTCCAGATTCCTGAGACAGAACCCTCTACCAGTTCACAACCCCACGCAGCCAGAGCAGCAATACAGAAAATTTCTATTCTCAACAGAATTCAGTGAGCAGCACGATTGGTTTGTAAAATAAACAAACAAACAAAACCCCAAAATCCAAAGCAAGTTTTCAGCCTATATGTACAAAAACAATGCAACAAGTGGAACATTCTAATTATATTTTGTAAAACACATGTTTGGGATCAAGAAAACATAAAACATCCAGACTCTAGATTACAAAAAAATCTATTGCCATCTAGTTGTCAACCCCAAGTTTAGACAGTCCTTGTCGGAAATCATGTAATTCATCTATTTTCCCATCTAATACATCTAAAAAATTCTTTAATTCAGTTTTAAGGTTGGTCTGCCTATGTTTGCTCTCTTCAACTTCCGTCCTTAGTGTTACGACTTTCTCTTCAAGATCTTTGTTCTTTTTCTCAGCAGCCTTTAAGACAAAAAAGACAGTAACATGAATCATATAGGAGACTGATGAATAACATTTAATAGAGTAAAGCAACAAATGGCAGCCAGATTTTAAAAGTTTGCTTTGACTTCTGCAATCTGATTAATACAAGCACCTCTGAAAGTGACTGACATGTGATGTGGGCTTTTTTTTTTTCTTCCTTCTTTTAAGTATGAGTAGCACAGGAAAGGCACTGATTAACTGGAAAAGATGCTTTGCATAAGTTTTTGTCATTTGGTTGATATCTTAAAATTCAGCTGGATTTAAATCATGCAGTGTGCATATATTTTGTCATTGCTGCAGTTAAAGAATTGGACACCATGCCACCAATTATACACAAAATTATCTATGGTGATTTAGCCTTGAAAGACAAACTTAACAAAACATTGCCTGAGAAATAACACCACTTTATTTGGTACTTTTGGATTTTTTTGTGTGTGTTTGTCTCTTTGTATAAGCATTCAGTCAAAGTACAGGTCAGCAACGTAGTCTTCCTTGCTGCAGTTTGCTCTATTATATTCTCCTCTTCTCACCTTTTCTGCCTATTTTTCTCCGTTTCATGAGAGCGCAAGCACACGTGTATTCTCACCAAAAAATACAGATAACATTTTACCATGCTGAATCAAGCCAAACTCATATGCGCTGTTAATAATTTACTCCCTTCACTTATTAATTTACTGCATTTAACAGGCTATTGATCTGAGAAGTCGCAATATCAGCCCCAAGCTGGGCAGGGCTGTCAGACGGATGTGCCATGTCCAAGCTGAGGAGCCACAGGTGAAAACCAAGCTGCACTAAGCGGGATTTTGCTGAAAAGGAACGAGAGGCCCATGAAGGAGGCAGCAAAGAGCTGGTGAGGGCCACGCAGAGACGGGCTGCCAGCTCCAGCGTGCGAAGTGGCCATGCAGGTGCCACTACCTCAGCCCACAGCACTAGAAGGACCCGGTACAGAATATCCTGGAATCAGTCAGCGGGTAGAGGCTACATGGTCCCATGCAAGCCTATTTTTATGAACAGTAAGGTAAAGAAGTAGAGCTATTTAGTTACTTCTCTACTGGGGTGTGCTGGGGAGGGCACAGCACATGTTGCATATAATTAGCATTTCCTATTCTAACAAACTGGAGCTCTTTTGCCTTCAAACCCTGAAGTCTGAACAGAGAAGTATATAGTTAGGAGAAAGAAAATAAATGTATCAACTATTTTTAGAATCATTTGTTTGATAAACTGTACCTGTAATTTCTGAGACACAGATTCACATTCTGACATGAGCTGTGGTATAATTTCACCCTGCTTTCGGAGCTCCTCCAGTTCCTTTGGAAAAAAAAAAAGAAAAAAAACACAGTACATTTCAATTTAAAACATAATGAAAATTTGAGAATATGAAACGACTTTGTATATCTTATTTTATCCTCCACAGTATTTGTACTTAAAATAATCAAAACAGTATGTCAGCATTCCAAAATACATGCTGTTTTATATTATAATAGTCTGTTTTTGCACTGTATTTTTACTAGGTTCTTTCAAAAAAGACAAATCTCTAATATGAATGCTATTAATTATATTGATGAACTCTTAACCTAAAACATACCTGTGCAAATAGATATATTTAATAAGAGAGAAATCTTAAGTGTTGTAATGCTACTAGCAATTTATAGATGGTAGCAAAGAGCAAATTAGACATCAATTTGCAGTGGTACACAGCAGGAAAAAAGACCCATGGGATTAGGAGCTGAATATATAGAAGCACCATTACAGAGCTCAGCAGAAATAGCCTCTCTACTGTACAGCCCTGAACATCACCTCCCCAAATCTGCATTCAGCTCTGGCATCGCCATCAAAATTCAGAGGAATGAGCTGAAAGGAGTTCACAAAAAGAGCAACACCATTTCCTAGCAGACCATGTTTCTGATGGAAACTTAAAAACACTGAAGGTGTTAACACTGCAAACAAACACCACCAATAAGGATGGTATGGAGAGACTCTAAAATGGCTGGTATAACACAAAGATGTATTGCCAGAGAATCTGAAATTAATCTTTCCATATCCAAGAGAAATTCTGTCCCTTGATGACAGTGTAAGATCCTCCTTGAGGAGTTACCCAGGTCACCCGCATTCTCATGAATAAACAAGGTTAAATCTCTCTGACCTGTACAGGGCAGCAAAATTATTCTGTATTGAAAGGCAGATTTTCTGACTATGAAAATACAACTCCTTCCCTAACAAGTGATCTTATAGCACAGTAGGAGTGTAATAGAATATATAATTCAAGCTCTTCTACAGAACCAGACAATAAATATTTTTGTCCTCAGATCTTCCAGATCCTTTTGCTCTAAGTAGACCAATATTTAGCAGTCCAGTCTTTCTCAAATTTCACAAGAATCAAGTATACTCTGAAGTGTGCACTTCTTTCCTCCTTCTGAAGAAGCAACAAAGCACCACTGCATCAATAATGTTTTCTTTTTTGAGAAATTCTGTAATTCCTAGACAATTCTAACGGTCTCTGCTCTTTCCTTTTAGTTTTCCAGCATTTGTCTTCATTAATTTAAGAGAGAGATTTTTTTTTCACATTTTTTTGTGAACTGCTCTGCAGAGCATGTTTAATTGATACAGAACAACTATTGTCCAGGCAATGACCCAGCTATTAAAGGAGGTAAAAAGGTGACTTGCTCATTATTTTGAGATACGAGCTCCCATGCTTATATACATGCACACATCTCAAAACGTAAATATATATTTTACTTTACTGTCCTTGGTTCTGTGATTCATGTTGTTTTTCCTAGATAGTTTTGTCCTGACTCCCATATTTTAAAACTTTTATCTCATTGTTTCCTACACAGACAGGATATCAGCCATTCTTCACACATGGCAACATTCAATGAGCAGGCCCCATGCTGGTTTGAATTGCAAACCACGGAAAGTTTACTTAGGGGTTGCTGAGACCTAATCAAGAACTTACTAATGTAAGTATGCAGTTGGAAAACAAGTTAGGATATCGTGAGAGCAAGTGGAAGTTAGGCCTGTAAGATTCACAAGTCAATCAATTTTCCAGTTCATTTGGCAAGCATAAAAATGTGAATCTCAAGAAAAATGCTAACAGAAAATAGGCGTTATTATACATGCTATTACTACAGAGGCTGGGAAGAAAGCATGACATTTTCCTTTGAAATATGGTGCTGAAAACCATATTATATTTATAATACTGCATCAAAATCCATCTCCCTAAACTATTTCCTTGTGCCATCTTAAAACCCCTTAATAGCACTGCTTTTAAGAGCACCAGCTGAGATGCTGTAATGGCACCAAGCAAACTTTACTGCACCTGCTGTCAGCTTTTGCTCTTCAGCCAGCATAGAGCATTTGGTCACTGAAATGAGGGCAGGGTGGGGGAAAGTGCAAGTATTCCATTATTTTCCCCATTGTTCAGGGACTTCAAGCCATCAACATCATTCTCCTTGGAAAAAATGAAAATCCCATCTGTCAAAAATGACAACCTGAGGTACTGTAAATGAATGTGACTTTCTCATTCTTGGAATTACTGAGAGCAGAGGGAGAGCAGTAAGGTGGCAAAGCTGAAGACTGTGAAACATCTGGAAAAAGACAAGGCATTGCTTTACAGACACCAAGTTATTTTGTAAATGATGCCTTTTTAAAGACAAGTCCTCTTGCTCCTGAAGGCTAAGGAATAGAGGACAGACAAAATTCTGTTCTTAGGATGTGTGTGTCTGGCTTTGGGCAACTTAACTACTTTAGTCACTCTATTAGGAGGAAGGTGTTAGGTAAATAAAACTATCATGTTTGCTAAACCCTGCTAAAATAAAAATGTGTGGTCACACAGCACGACATGAAATCGAGACATGAACAACACCAGCAAAATACACCTAAAGAATTTCACACAGATGATCTGGAAAAGGGCAATGCCTGAGGCACTGGTCTTTCTCTCCCTCGGTGAGCCATTCCATAAAACTATACACAAAATTAAAAGCAGATAGATCAACCCAGACTTGGAAATGTATGCCCCTACTGTATTTATTTCACTTACCAGTTCTTTGTCTTGAAGTTCAGTTTCCAGTTCCTGGAGACGTCTGCTCAGCTGTGCATTTCTTTCCTTCTCTTTATTTATTTCATTGCACTGTTCTTCCAGTTCTTCAATCTTAAAGAAATGTCAGACACCAGTTGAAAATTACCATTTTCAGGGAACCTGGGGTAGACCACACCAGAGGAACTGTTCCACTGAGCACAGGGAAGCAAGGACAATTTTAATTTGTTAAGGGTCAGTTTCCTAGATTGTATCACTCAGTTCAGTGCATGAAGATTATCACTTCTTTACTTAAAGAGAATCAATTTACACACCCACTAGGAAGCCCAGGGACTATGTTTACTACCTCTCACCCAGTATCTCATGTAATTACTTGAAAATGTGCAAAACACCAAGGTGCTAAAATGAATAGCAAACGGAGGCTGGGGATAAAATTTTCACTTTATTTCTATGAAACTGACACAAGATTATAATTGATGGGTTTTCTTAATGCAAGGAGGAAAATCCCTATAGCATTCCTAGCTTTGCCTCCTCAGGGTTTGCTTGTTATTTTAGCTGAAGAGGGACAAAGCATCAAAACTTTGCTAGAAGAACCAGTTTGGAGTAACATAGGCTGCTTTGCTCTCTCACCCAGAGAACTGGTTTGCTCATCCCATACCTCATCCCGCCATGTCTGGACTTAGCTCCCAGGAGGTGCACTTCCCACAGGCCAGCACGCCAGGTCATTACAGTATGTATTTTAACTCTCGGTTTCTTGTTGCTTTGGGATTATAACTTCATTCATCTGAAGGTACAGCAATATACAAAAAATCTAACCTACTTAATAAAGGAGAAGGAGCTTCCCATAGCGCTGAAATAGTGCATTGCAAGCACCTAATAGGGAACCTTCTTGGCGAAAAGGCTCAAACAATTCTCTGCATAAGAAAATACAGACTGAGTTACTGCATGGCCCCAAACAGCCCAAGTCTGGCAAGTCACTGTCACAGTAACCCCTTGCAGGCACTTATAGTAAGGCCGTGCTCTGACAACCTCCTTATCCCTAGGCCACAGTCTCGAGACGTGACATATCTCATCAGGTAAAGTCAGTAAGAACAACTTCTCTGTAACAATACAGAAAAGCAAAAAAACAACACAGCAAGTCATGCTATTGTCTTATACAGTTCTTGTCTATACATTTCTCTCCTATCCAGGAAACAGAGTGGATTCAGAAGCGAGGTCATCTAACAACTAATATTATTAATTTGTTAATGTCAAAGTAGTATCAGTTAGGCAGTGATCTACATTAACCTGGAATACAGCACTGATTTGATCTCTGAATTATCATCATACCTGAAATACATGCAAATAGACAGAGACATCTGCTTAAGGAAAGGTTGTTCCATTTGGCATTTGAGTGCTGACAGACAAGCTGGATCACTTCCAGCACTGAAACACCTCATTTGCAGCTTACAGACATAAAGAAGGCATGAAATCCCTTCCTGTCTTTGAAAGCAAAACGAGCACTAAACAAACAAAAAAACCCCAAAACACCAGAATCAGACAACAGGCAAATTGATCTCTATAATATATAGATCATCAGGGAAAGGATCTATCTTCTTCAGAGAAATTTAGGATGAGAGTGGGATTATCACTACTGGCTGTGCTCATGGGAACCAGGTTCCACTGTTGGTGCTGCCACTGAGGGGTAGTACCAGCTTTGATAGACAGCACTGTATTATTTTAGTGGCAGTACCACTGAATGCTCTGAACTGTGGCTTTGCAAATCTGAATTTGTACTTCTTGGCTCTTCTCTCTTGTGGCCCATGCTCATTCTTAGTATTACACTACTGAGAAATACGCTCAGCAAGGGTAGGGGAAAGCCTTTTTCTAATGACTTTTTCCAGATTTCAGGATGCAACGCTCCCTGTGTGAGAGCTGGAGGACTGACTGGTTTCTCAGCCCTGCCCTTTGATTTGCACTTGCACAGTTAAAAGCATAACTCATGTTCTCACTCTTCTGTGTACCTGTGGGATTTACTTCTAACACTGAGTGGTTCCTGGCTTTATTTTATATGAGTAACCACGCTGTAACCATTTCTTCTGCTCATTCACAAACCGACAATATTTAAATGATCTTTGAAAGGAGTATGCAAGAGTAATCTTTCCTTTAAAGCCCTTCTGACTTATCACCCTTGTCAGTAGCCCCTACACACAGACAAGTCTCTCAGACCAGAGGCCGGGAGCTTCACGTGATACAGCAGCACAGGTCCCCCTTTGAACTTCCCTGCATGCTGGGAGCACAAGGAAACAACTCACCTTGTCCACTTGCCTTTCAAAGACAAAGTCTCCTAACACAGAAAAAAAAAGATAAAACAGCAGAAATCCAAGAGAAAGAATAATGGAAGGAGTAACTAACTCAGAAGAGATGCCTTTCCTGTGGGTATCCTCTGCTTCAGATGAGAGCGTTCAAAGTGCTCTGGGGACAGTTTTTCCAAATTCATTTAACACTCTCACTACAGGCACATTCTTTTAACTATATACACTCGTATCTACATTAAAAAAAATCATGAAAATTGGAACTTTGTGGTTGCATTGCAGCATTGGTGCTATTTTTGACTACCATCCCAAAATCACTGTGCTTTTACATTTTAGTGCTTACTAAGAGGAGAACAGGCCCCAGGCAGGAGGGCCGTGTGGCATTCGTGTGACTACAGCCAGCACGTTGGGGCTACCTTGTTCCTGAGTTCCTCGTTTTCCTCCTTGCATGCCAAGAACTGCTTCTTCCAGTGCTCGATGCTGGCTGCAGACTCCTGGAGTGCCGAGGTCAGCCTGGCATTGCTCTCCCTTAGCGTCTGCAGCTCCGTCTCCCACTTCTTTACATTGGATGAACTGAGAACAACAGAAAGCTGTTAGGTGTCTTAACCTTTAACCCTACATACTGTTATTCCTTACCTAGACTACAGGTGGCCTAGTGTGTAGTCATGTCCCAATAATCTGCACTCAGATGTATATATTTTTTTCTATTTTTTTTCTTTTTATGTTCAGTCTTAAACTATGAAAGTGTTAAGCAATGGAAAATAATTGATTAACTAATTCCACAAATCTTCAAGCTACAGGATAGACAAAGAGATTAGAGAGTGAATAGGAGGCTTTGAAACTGCTTATAAACCACTTGCTACTTGTCTGTGGAGGTGTCTGCAGCAGTAAGAAAGAGCAAATTGTTTGAAATGGGTTATGCAATTGAAATTTCTGTGAAGAGCGACGATGCACTTCAAATAAAACATATACAATCTTAAAATTGCTCACTGCATAGTGCTGCTGCTGCTGCCTTAATTTTAATTAGCTTTACGAGTAACTTAATGTATCTTTTTTCAATTCACAGATATATTCACACACAAGAGGCACACAAGGCACCTAAGATCCCAGAAAGAGAACTATGGCATTTTAATGTAATGACTTCACACATTCCAATTGCTCTATTTTCACTACAATTACTCTTCTCAGCATTTTCAAATAACTTATCAAAGCAAATAGCACAAAACACAACTTCAAGGGACATTGTCTTCAGCTTTACAAATATCCCCCCATAGACTTACAACTACAATATCTGTTTCACTTTGACTTTTAACAGTTGTGTTTATTCTCTTTTGTAATTAAATAACCTAATCTCTTTTCATAGAAGTAAATCTAGCAAGCAAAAAAAGGAAGAGAAGATTGGTTTCAAGGTTATTAAAACCAGCTGCTCCCCACTGGACTAAACGTTACGCCTTCCCATATGAAAGAGGCTGCATGAGCTGGAGTCACTGGAGTAAAAGAGATCTTATCTCACCATGGATTAAATCAGGAAAAAAATAATTGGTAAATATCTCCCAACTGGATACCAGGAGGCACTTACTAAAATCTGTTCATTCATTCATTCTGCTGCATCATTTTAAATTTACACAATTACATTTGAATAACCTCTGTTAATATTATTAGCCATCAGGTAATTACAGCAAACTATTTCAATGCAATTTAGCTATTAAAGAAACTTCACCTTTGGGCTAGAGCAATTTTTAACTTATCATTCTCGGACTTCAGATGTGCATCAGCAGGACCACCATGTGATGCCTTCTCGTCATCTGTCCCATTCACACTGGATGCACGTGTGGAAGATGGTGTTTCTCGCCCAGATTCCTGCCACACAACATGTAAGTTAGCATGAGCCTTCTTGAAGCCCCCCTGTCACCCTCAGAACAGTCTGTATTGCTCTGAACCAAATTGAGCATAACTGCAAGGCTAAGCATTCAGCAACTTTTAATTGTATTTTTCTGATCATGCAACTACCTTTTTTCTGAACAAAATCTATTTGATTTTCCTCCAAATATTAGCACAAGCCAAGAACTCCCAATAAACAAGGGTTCATTCTTACAGGTTTTGTTCTTAGCTAATGCAGTACTTATGAAATCACAGTAAAATGGTTATAGAGGGGCTGTGACAACACTCAGTTTCCTCAGTTTATAACAAGAACAGTTCTCATCGGACTTGAAGACACTTTGCTGTAGTAAGGTGTGCTGTCTAGAAAGGCATATTATACAAATAGACAAAATAAGCTTCTCCCAGCCATTCACTTAAGTACCATCTCTGTTTCTACATCACAGCTTTCAGTTCATCACATTTTGACAAGGAACTACACTATGATGACAAAATAAGTCCACATATTTGCACAATGAACTCCTACAAAAGCATATGTAGCCTTGCCTGTTCTTATAAAAGTTACAGCAGCTCAGTAACTGGAGAAAAAATGTTGAAATGAAGGCAAAGGGCATGGATGGGTGAAAATTATTCTTCTGACAATGTTAATGCCCAAGAGTTGACAATTACCTTTGTCAATCTTCATCTTACATACTTTAAGTTTGCTGCCAGAAGCTGGTACAGTTCATTATAAAATTTTGCTTTAACTAATTTATCCGACATGCACACAGGTATTAAGATAAATTACAAACCTGTGAATGATTGCTTGAGGTTTCAATTTTCTCTTGAGATCTGTCTCTTGCTAGTTTGGCTGCTTCTTTTACTTCTTGAAATTTTTCCGCAAACTACAAAACACATGAATGATATTTTATTAAAATGGTATGTGACCTATTAATTCTACTCAGATTATTATCTCTATATAGTACATATAGATGTAGAGATACAGAAATACAAGTATTTTGTTTCATTAATTTTGCCTTAAATTCAGGGTGGCTGCCTCCAAAAAGAATGGCAGTATTGCTCCTAGAAGGATAGCATCTCCATAGTTCTACGTGATTAGGTTTAGATTAAAAAAAAGAAAAGAAAAAAAAAAGAAAAAAGAAAAAATAAATGGTTTCCTTTCTTAAGAAAAAATTTAATTAAAGCATGCAAATGGGTTCACGAGATACCTGCAGGACTCCAAGCAAGATATTGCTGAGAAGAGAAAGCTAAGTCTGAACTGGCCAAGGGCCCATATGTAAATCTGTCACTTTTTAGTCTGATTTTCTTATCCCTGGCAAAAATAAAGGCATAAGACTTCAGGAAGAGAGAAGGCTTGAATGCTTCCTGTAACAGGGTTCCGTCTAATTGGGGTAGGCGGGGGAAGGTAAAGATGAAAACTAATTATGCCATTTTTACGAGTTGCTGCAGGGCATCTGCTCCCAAGCCAGTCTGTCACTTCTGAAATGCCAGTGTTGTCCAAGGCCCTACGTGTTGCAGGGCTGGCACCACAAAGTTTTAAAAGGAGGACTGCAAAGATGAAAGAAAAGTCAGAAAAAAAAATCCCAAAGAAGTGTCCAGTATAAAAACGGGTGATTTCTTCTTTCTGCCAAAGTAGCTTAGTCTTACTTGCATTTGAAACTCAACTACTACAAAGGAAAGAAACATTAGAAGTTCCTAAAGAGATCTCTCTCACTGCACGCTATCTGAATAAAAAGGATTTCCATTATATACTCCGGTAATTCAGATTGCTTATAACAATTTGTAAATAGGAGCAGGAGAAGGATCAGGGTGGGGTGAGAAGGAGAAATCACACATCATAGTTAAGGAATAGGAAGAATTATTATCCACTTGCTAATCTTATTTCCTAACTTTTACATTTATAGCTAAAATTCAGCATGCTTACTCTCAGTAAAATACTATGACTATAAAGACTGATAAAACTAATATTCTCCCACTGTTCTATGATAAATTTGCATGTGGATGGGGAGGTACCTATATTCTTTATAAACACACAGAACAGGTCACTAACAAATACCTATATATCATTCTTAAATTCCCCATGGCACATGCACACATTTGCAAAGCCAAGTGAAATTTCAAGTGTTCCTTGTGGAGAGCTGTGGACTCCAGTCTGTGATAACGCTTACGAATGAGGATGAAGCTCTCAAATCCAGCTGCTTTCTACACAACAGCTGAAATTGCATATGCAAAGTATTTGCTATCTATCGGGATGTGGAGTCAGCACACAAGTGATGTGATTATCTTTGTAGCAACATAAAGATCATTAGGAACAACTTCATTACCTTTTGGCTTTGAGTGATTTAACTCAACTTCTATGCAAAATATAACTTCTGCTGTAACAAAACATCTATAATAAACTGATTATTTCTAAAATACTGTGTCAGCAGCAAGTTTTATACTTGGATTTTCTGCAAATGGCTAAAGGGCTATTTTGAGTCATTCTGTTGCAATAAATCTTTATGGGCAAGCATGAAATAATTATGAGGGTTCCTCATGTACTATATGAAATATGAAAAGACAAAAGAATTGGAAGTCATCTATCAAACTTGATTTTTTTCAACTCTCTTCATGAAACACACAGAATTGCTCTGAAAAGTGAGTTCAGAAAAAAAGGGACATTTCCATCATAAAAATGGGACACAACTAGACAAAGGTTATCTTTAACACAAAACTGATAATGATCTCATTTCACAACAGATTTTATTCATGCCCACAGTTTGCCAATACATTTGCATTTAGCAATAAGTACCAGCAAGTGATTTTTTCACCAACTTAGAGACAGATATTCATCTTTAAGAGACAAAATTAACTCCTACTGTGGCTACAAACGTAAAGACTCCTGTAAAAGAAACTGCAATGAAAGACTGTCTCTGTCTGTTGTTTACTCCATACATTCGGAAACAGTCAGTCCATACAGAGTTGTGGTGTTTCTTCTGTATTATTCTTGGCTAATTATTACCTGCCAGATTTTACTATTTCTGAAAGCTACAGACGTTCACTTGGCTTGTTAAGAAATTAAGGCCTTTCACTTGATTGTTTTTCAGAGTGCAGAATCACGATAGTGACGGCCTAAACCTCATAGCATCACCCTGCTAATTGCTGCAGCAACAGACAAGACACTTCTGATGGCACCGAGATCCTACTGCCGCGGGTGATGGACATGGCAGAGCCACAGTGTCCAACTGGCAGAAAGCAGAGAGACACTTTATTGCCCCTAACTGACTGTATTATGCCCTGGAGACAAGCAAATGACAAATAAATAACACTGAAAAAAATCAGGTACCATCTCCAAGATCTAAGAGTTGGCTTTGAGCTATCAAACCATTACAAGAGCAGTGAGTGCTTTCTAAATGGGAAATTCCCCTTTGGAAAGTGAAGTAGTCTTCATTTAGTAAAGGAAAACATGTTAAATGTGGTTTCAAGGGCTGCGAATGGGTGTAAATATCTGAAACCAACCAAATCATCATCATGTTCTTCCTCCTTATTATCTTTGCTCCTTTTTATCTTCCCTTTCCTCCTCATCCTTGGGCAGACAAAGCTGCCCAAATTAGCAGACTAACACTACTGCCACATGAGCCCTATAGTACATATACACTATATAGTGCAATTTTCCAATGCCTTGGGAAGCTCTGAGACCAATCTGCAATATGGAAAAATGTGTTGCTCCCAAGGCTTGTGAGGGTCTTTCAGTCTAAGGATGCTGCAGTACATGAACACTGCATTTGATGATGAATCTTAGCCAGTGAAATTTAGTGGGGACTCAAAGATGTTACTGTATATTGCACAAATTATGTAAAGGCTGTTCAAATCTGGAGACAGCTTGTCACCCAGAGAAATAGATATATTTAACAGACATTCTTAACATTTTATACATTAAGAATTTATGCATTTATACATTTTATACGTTAAGAATTATTTTCTGTGTGCAAGTTTTAAGCCCCTGATCTGGCATTACATTTATTTCTCCTGCTGACAAATCGTGCCAACGTCAGACACATGAGCAGCTGCTCCCACCGAAAGCAGGCTCATAAATACTTGATGGTCCTCTCCCTTGCAGGAAGCCACAGCCAGGCAACACAACAGCCACAGCTTGTGAGCGCTGCAGTCCCCTGGCTCTCGGCCCACACGTGGCTGCTGCAGGGTCCCCTCGGTCTCAGGCAGGCTGGGGGGACAACACTATTGACCCCAAAAAGTGCTACTAATTTGTGCTAACGTAACGGCGCTGCTGACGGCAAAGCCCCTCAGACGGACGGGCCGTGGCACCTATGTTTACTTCTGGGCAGGTAGTGCACATGCAGCACACACACATATAAATCTCAATTACGGGCCCAGTACCTCCCCTAAGTTGGATGCAGTTGCTTTATAATCTGCAAAGCCGGCTTAAAGAAATCGAGAAAGCGGCAGGAAGCGACATTTCCTGAGCTTCTCACGTGTATAAAACAAGATCCCGGTGCCCTCGCCTACCTGCTGCTCCTGATTGCTGTGGCTGTGTCAAAGCACCCTGAATGACAGCAGAAATTTTAGTTAATGGCTTCCTGTACAAAACACATTGCTACTTTTGCAGCATCAGCCCAGACACATCAGGAACTCAGTTTTGATTTGCCTGTAGCAATAATGTCTGGTGACCTTTCTGACATGGGGTGGGAAGGAAAGAAGGAAGGAGGGGACAGCAAGTCCTGGGAGATGGAAAAAGGACCCTGATATGGATAACAATCTTAAGCACTAGGGCATTCCCAATAAATGTGAATGGTAATTAGGTTACTAGGTCACTGCATGCAGTTTTCATTAATGGCTCGTGTTTAATTTGAACTTCCTGTCCCTATAGGTATGGATTAATGTCTAAATATCTCAAGAGAAGCAAAGTATTAGAAAGAGATAATATCTTTTATTAGGACAACCAATATTCTTATAACTGCACAGATTTTTAGGTGTGCTAACCTCTTCTTATGTCTCATTATTATACTGTTTGTCTCATTATTATACTGTTTTCCAGGAACATTTTTCAGATTTTATTTATTTTCTGGAAGCATCTGAAAATTTTTAAGTCAAGCAGAAACATCTCCGGTTTAGAAGAGTTTTAGTCTGTCCTCTTGATTCCTGATTAAAAGCTTCAATTATTCCCAGTAAAGCTGGCAAGGTCTTATTTATATCTTTTATAAAAGCATAATGATGCCAGCATAAAATGAAACTTGATTTTGCTATTCCCAGTACGCTCTTACTTCTGTTATCTCTTCATCATCCCTGATCTTTTGTACTAATGGTTCAATAATTAACTGAGAAGCATGAATGATAAGCAATATCTTTGTCCCATCCCTTTGAATAGTATTAATAACCCAGGTTTTCTAACATTTTCTAGAGAGACAACTGTTAGATTTTTTTTAAATTATTATCTCGATCCATTTTCTCAAAAGCGCCCCTTAAACCACATTTCTCATTATCATTTGGACCAGAAATTGGCTCTCTGCTGACTCTGAAAGTTCTGGCACCCATAGGTAAGAAGGCTGAATGAGGCAGAAGGCTCCAACTACATTTAGCAGATAGTGCAGCGCAAACACATCTACAAACAGGTCTGGAGAGTGAAACAGCTGGTGAAGAATTGGCACCACCCTAGCTACATGTAGATGCAAGAGCTGCTGCAGGGCTTTCAACATTAACTTTATTTTAAGCATATGTTTGGACAGTTTTGGAGACGATGGTAAAATCTCTCCAAGTAGGAGGCAAGGTGCTCCAAACCTGGCTGGCTGGCCTGTGCTCGACCCAGTGCCACATGGCTCTGCACTACACATTTACTTGCTTTGTATCTGCAGTTACCTCTCATACTGAAGAGGAATGATTTCTGTGATCCAAGATTAAAAAATACTGTTCTGAGGTGCTAATTCTTTAATTCCAGGTCCAAATGTTAGATTGTAGCATGCTTATCTGTTACTTAAAACAAACTATATTCCCCCAGGTCCATTTTAATCCTAGCATACAGGCACATTACTTACTTATTTGTTATAAACACCTCTGTCTCGTGGGAGTGAAGAATGTGCACGTGTGAAATGAGCAGTCTTCTGCATTTGATTGAGTTTAAATACCATAACACACATTAAGTATCATAAATCATTACCGTCACATTTTTAAAATAGCAATTTTACACGTGTTTCTTTGGGTAACCTTAACATCTCAGGTCACTAGATTACTGCCACGGCACCTCTATGGGCATTCCAAGTCCAAAAGTATTTCTACAAGAAAAGTGAAATATGCTTTGCATTAAGAAATACTTTCAAAAAGGCAGTTTTCTGGAAAATGTAAGTTAATACAACATGTAATTCAACTGACAGAAAGGTCTTCCTTTAAATTGCAGTAATTTGCCTTTGTTATTTTAGACACTACAAGAATCTTCTTGTTCCCCTGTTTCCTTTCAATCAAAGCATTCAAGAAGAGAGAGACACAAGGGATCATGTACCATGTCCAAGGACACAATGTTTAGTTAACTGATAAAACCTGCTGCCAAATAGCCATGCTTTAAGTGTCAACGATGTGTTAGATGATCAATGCTTTTTACAGCATGAACAAACAGCTCAACTGCTTGATGAGCATTTGGCAAGACTACTCCTCTAAGAACAGCAAATGCATTTTGAACTGCTGGTTATTCATTACACAGGGTAGCTCTAAACTCCAGACCATAGCAAGTCCCTGTCAAAAGGGAAGAGTTGCATGAACAGCAAGAGCATATTGGGGTGTAGTTCGAAGGGATGCTGGCTCTGACAGCAAACCTGACTCCTCTTTCCAGCTTCCCTGTCATGAGTCACCATCATCTGCTCAGTTCAGTGACAAAACAGCTTTGGGTCTGTGCTGCAAATGAAGTTACTGAACCGAAATGCCAAAGTAGTACTCGTATTTTAACCCAGATCAATTTATCAATGCTACTGTGAGACTGGTCCTATAGACAGTTGTATTGACACAGCTGAGGAAGACAGCAAGCTACAAAATCAAGGGGAAAAAAGGCTTTGGGGGCTGAATACTCACTAGTTGGTTTAGCTATCATCAACAGCAACTCATAAAAATACTCCTTTCTGAAGCTGCGACAGCAATGCTCTTCTAATCTCAAAAAGGCAGGCCCAAGTTCCTTGAACTTTCCTGATTCTTGAGAGTAGACACCACCTTAATACTTGAATACTGGAAATTAAGGGTTCTGTTCACATTAACCCCATGCTGCCACACAGGGCTCTAAGTTAAAAGCCTTGTGTAATCCACAATAACACAATCCTCTGTGATGGCCGAAGTCTATTCAATATCAATTACTACCAAACATAGATACTGCACAGAACTGTAGCTAGAGGTGTCCAGGTAGTCTTCTGACAGTTTCCGGTATATCAGGGATTCACTTTACATTGCTTTTAGTACCACTTTCATCTGAAATTAACATACAGACCAGGGAATAGTGAAAAATGTTTCTAAACTCAGATTTTTTTTTTCTGGAAGCATCTGAAAACACAAATGTTTTCAGCCAATCTGGACAAGATACAATCAAGATCACTTCACTGTAACCATCATTAGTGATGAGATTTGATATATAGTTTTGACCATAAAGTTTGCAGTACTGCCTGCTTCTAAATAAGCCGACAGTTAATAACTATCACAAATAGCTTACACTAACTGAAATGAAAAGGACTTGCAGAAATAGTCGGTTTAGAAGAGATTCTTATCAGATGAGTTAGGTACAATTCCTAATTCTTAAGAAACAAGACAGCCTTTTCAGGAGTAAAGTGAGCCCAGTTACCTTTGTCAGCTGTTGTTCAGAAGAAAAGCCCAAACCAAATACAGTGTTTGCTCTGCTGTCCGCCCACTGGCCAAATTTCTGCGATGTCTTAGTAAAGGTCATATTAGGTGTAATTGTGCTGTTTATGATCACCTGTTTTAAAAACAGATCAAAAAAATTAAAAAAAACAGAAGTCATACAGGAAACACATATCCTAGCAACAGATAATTCAGAGCAATTAGCAATCCAAATTTGGAAATTGCTGTATTTATGAAGAATTTTTCCCTTTTATGAAACAAATTTCCGTTAATTCAAGATTTTTTAAACTTTGTGTTCTTTTTTTCCAAAGTACTGTTAGGTCCCACAGTTAAATACTGCTGCAGAACTTCACTTCAGTGGCAACTCAAATAAATAGCAGGGACACAAGCCATATTTAGCCTCAGCCTGCCACAGAGGATACCCGAAACATGTCAGAGGAAAAAAACCCTTCGAAACATATGAAGAATAGAATACCTTATTTAACAGTGGAGTTAGCTTGGAAGGGTGGTGGAGGACATCACTACTAATGCATAAATAGTGTCAAATGGGGGCCTCTTCAGGATAAAATTTCTTCTGCTTTTATAGGAGTTAGCTAATACCTATTGCAGTACCAGCAGCCTCAAAGCAACAGAGATTCATTTAATCAAAGAAACAGCCAACAAGAGCAAGACTGTTGGGAGGATGTTCCTGAGGAACTTAGTGGAAGAAGCACAAACTGTGATCTCACAGAAAGGAAGGAGGTATGTGTCAGTTCATTACCAAAAACCTTTGCTTTCTTTTCAAGACACATGATGGTATGAGTCCTGAGAGTCTTTCCCTTGGAAATGAATTCCTGTACAATGTTCTTTCTGCCAACAGAATAGGAGCTTTCTTTAGCAATGCGTACCATCATTTCCAATATGCAAATTATGCAGTAATTAAGCCAAATCTGTGGGACAATTTAATTAACATGATCAGGAAGTATCCTGGCAACGTCATTTACTATGTACTCCAAGCAGTTTTTTCCTAAGCTATCATTTACATTTAGCAAAAAGTGTGAATTAAACTTACCAGAGAAAGATCCTTATTTGCCTCCTTCCCCCTCCCTGACGTCTACCTTTTGTGCCGATACTTTTATTTTCTTTCTTACAGATTGTTCAGCTTCAGTGGTTCTCTCTCTTTACATAATCACTTTCAAATAAACATACAATTTCCTGCAATTTGCCTTGCCATGGTTTTTGCGTCACCTTACTGCGTGCAAAATTAATAGATTCCGAAGGAGTCTGAAAACACTCCCTCTGAAAGTTTTACCAAATGGATCAAAACAGATCAGGTGGATGGTAGTCATAAAGCTGTTTTAGAGAGAATCAGAATAATAAAGGGTGAGAGGTGACATCTCAGCCAGAACAGCCCCCACACACAGATGAGCTTCCAGAGCGGAAACATTTTTGCAAGGCTCGCTCATAGGCGGAGGTATAAATAGAGCTGCCCAGATACACACTCCTGCTGACAAGTCACACAACAGAAATGCAGCCCATGTAAAATCTTCCACCTGAAAGCAAGGGGAACCTGAGTGCAGTTTCAGATATATAAACTACAGGAAAATTCAAAGATTTTATGTATAGTTTTGACAATTCGAAAGGCTCGTGACAACATGAGGATTGTATGATATAACTAAGTCACAAAAAAGGAAGGAAAAGCTACTCCTAATAATGAGGATGTTCTCCAAAAGCTTTCAGGGAAGTGCTACACAAATTCCTTCTTTATAAATCTTACATCAGACACAGGAACCACCTTAAAATCTTTAACTTGTCAAGTTACGGAATTTATTTTAGAAGTTCTGAAATACCCTGAAATTTCAACTGCTAAGAGTAATACTCCAATTCTGCTGCACATATCAAATTAGATATCTGCAGAGTAAAACCAATAAAATGATCCCTTTTACTGAAAGGTAAAAGCCTTATTCACTAGGAGCAGACAGTAAGAATAGTATTTTTTTCCATTCTTTCTACCATTATCATTTATTCACATATACATGTGTATATGTATATATACAAACATACACAAACACACATATATACACAAAACACACCAAAGATATTTTTGTACCACAGTCCAATAATATCAAACAAGGGATAAAGGAATAATAAAGTCCACAAACTGTAAAAGCAGAAACATCTTATTTAGCAATGAAACTAAAAAGGTTAGCTTAGCACCTTCGAGATTCATTTTTCCTCCAGCCAGAGCTGCATCCCAGAAAAGGTTGTGGTGATCAGGCACCTTCAAGAAATTGACAGTTCATCTGTTAAATTTATAATAGACTGCAATTAGTGAAACTGCCTGGAAACCAGGCATTTTTTTTTAATCCCCTACTCTGTTAGTCAAACGCTTCAGAAGTCCTGTGTTCCCATGGACACGTGGAAACCTCTGTGAAAGCAGAAGAGGTTTCACTAGAGCTGCGGGGAATCAGCTCGGAGCAGCTGGCTCCAGGTGGGGATATTGTGCTGCCCCGGCTCCCCTCCTCATCCTCGCCTGTCAGCTCCAGATGAACAGTAAGATGCTGTTACAATAAATTTCAGCAGTATTTAGCCTGCAGGTTCACCTAACCAGTAAATCCACTAACCTCTTATGAACAGAGGCATTACTTTCTTCAGGGAATACTCATGTTGGGTGTATTTAGGAAGGAAGCATAGTCTGTTCAAAAAGCATTAAAAAAAAAAAAAGGAGACAACTGGCATTGTTATTATTTCAGAGAATCATAAAAAATGGGGCTCAGAAAGGGCTCTGACAGGTAATTGAGCCCATCCCCTGCCCCAAAGCAGGATCAACCACGGCTTCACTACACTGAAGGAGAGAATTCATGGCAATGTCTTCATCTCCCTGCCCAGGCAGAAGGCAGGAGATGCATCTGTGACGACTGCAGCAGCAACGTTCAGCCAAACTGGGAAAAATTATCTTTTTTGGTGAAAGAAAGAAACTGAATTTTCAAGTTTCAAAGGAAGGTCTATGAGAAGAGAAAAAGCACAGGAGAAGGTCACTAATTTAAAAGCTGTTCCTGACACAATGAACTGGTGGTCTCTACTCCATTCCCACCCTCAACTTACTAGCCTAACCCTGTAAGAAAAGGCAGCCCACCACTTGGTCTTACAAAGTAGCTTTGCATTTGGTCTTCATTCATGTGACGCACACAGAATAGGAAACCGAAAAACTCACGGACTTTTATCTGAGATTAAAGGATTCAAAAGCCAAATAATCCTCTAATCAAATGAGATCAGTCCCTGAAGTGGTTAAAGAGTTTTCCCTACAGACAAAGGCAAAGATGAACCATAATATAATAAGCACCTTGCAGAATAATAAACTCATTCATCATACTGACTGAGCTGGTTGTCTGTCGTTAAAAAAAGTATCTGCCTTTGCTTTCATCTACAGGCAAGTGTATCAGATGGTGAACATTCCTGATACGTCTGCATAAGCCAAACAAAATCTCATGCTAATTTTACTTCCTCGGGGGGAAAAGAGCCCTGATAGAGCTAACCTTTCATTTAAAGATGACATACAAGAATTTCCACAGTGCAAGGTAAGGCTACATCAACCAGAAATGACTCTAAACATTTAAAAAACACACCAGGCCTATTCATCGGATAAAAATGAATGCAAAAAAGCTGGCATACAACATTTCTACAGTATAACACACCCATCTCACTGTCTTCTCACAGAGAGAAACTGCCAAATAAATCAATCAGAGAGAGGTCACAAGGAAACCTAAGTGTGTAGAAGGAAAAAAAAAAAAAAAGAAGTACTAGCAGCTCATGCTGCTCATAATATATGAGCAGTGTACATACATAAAACCAGCTTTTATTTTAGGGGGTGCTAGTGTCGAAGGACTGCCAGTACTTACTGGGCCCCCTTCCCCGCTCCCCGCACTACACCTGTGTGTTGCCCTGCTGCGCTAAGGCAGGAAAAGGCAGCCCCGCTCCGAGCACGTTCTCTCAAGCCACCCCTTTGTTCGCCGGAGGCGGCTGCGCTCCCAGCGGGATGGCAGGACGGAGCCGCGGGGCTTTCGCCAGCCCGGCTCGCGGCAGATGCCCTGCGCGGCGGCAGGAGGGACGAGCGGAGCCGAGAGCGACATGGATCCGGGAGGAGGGAAAAGCGCTCCCGGCGGGAGACTGGCAGGGCCAGCGGGCCCCCCCCGCGGGGGGGCAGTGATGGGTGAGAGGTGGGCTTCTAATGAGACAGCCAAATTGGGATGAGTCAATTCTCCCAGACCTACTCATACTGCAGCAGAAGTGAGCCAAATTAGGAATTATGCTGGAATTTCCCCTTTATATCACTTATTATCCTGGAGTAATTTCATCTCTAGAAAAGCCCTAAGGCATGAAGCCATAGTATCTACTCATTAAATAGTCACTACATGAGCTAGAGAGCAAAGACGTCCCCATTTCGTTTTCACACCTCTGAGTATGTGCTTTCCACTTTGCAGCCCCTTGTGAATGTAGTTTCCCCAACCCACCAGGCTGCTGAACTTCAATAAAGATGTATCTCAGTCTAAAAACAGAACTGAAAAAGGGAGAAGCTGCCAATCCTCTGGCCACAGCTACCACAGGCTCAGCAGGTTCTTCCAGCTCATCAAGTAAACACAAACCAGAAATGCTGGCAGCACCAGATATAAAGATGAGGAGGCAGGGGTGGATATGTAGAGAAATTCTCCCTCCATCCCAAATGTTCAGCAACTCCCTCATGGAACATAGCTAGCCTTGTTTCCACGATTTGTGCTATCCTTTGCTATCCATCATCCCTTGCATTTCTCCTGACACCTTCATGTAATATCTACTCACTAATAAATTACTGCAAAATTAAGGAAAAGAAGTTTGACATTACGCAGGAGATATTATGAAATACATTTATGCATGAAACATGGCAAATTGCTTCATGATGAAGGTGCTAAGCTGTGTATGTTGTCTGTTTTCAACTATAACCAGAAAGGGTCTGCAACCTGCAGTCTGTTATGGCACCTGAATTGCACCTGATTGCATTAACACTTTACCTGTAGCGCTACATTATCTCCTTTCTCATATTACATACCAGCATACACACACACTGTTAATCAAGATAATGTTATTTAAAAGGGAGAAAAA